CTGTGTTGCGAACAAAATCAGGGCACAGAGCAGAGCAGAGCATAGCATACCAACCAGCAGCAACCCTTGGAACGTCCCTGGGTCCTGTCACCACTTTCTTGCAGCTGAGCTCAACGAAAATTTTAAAGCATCCGCATCCACAAAGGCAGCTTCAAGGAACGAAATCTGTACAGTGTACACCGTAAATGCAGGGGCAATATTGCGTGTTTCATTATTAACAAAGTTAATCCCCTGACCTAGTTAAGTCGTGTCAGAAGAACACACACACACCGCGTCGGAAAGAGGGAGGTTCCTGCCGACATGGGTAATGGGTAAGCCGTGATGCCTCAATAGCTGACTCCGGCAAGTGTCTAAGCATCCGCAAGGTATTCAGTAAAATCATTTTTTATAAAATTACTTTCGAATACACTGCTTATGGTCGAAACAGGGACGGCTAGATGCACCTGGGAATTCATCCTGATCAGTATTTAACTACGCATGAGCTGTAGGTTGTACTCGAAATTCCGAAATGGCCTCTTCTCTCCGCAAACGATTCCTTCAATTATGAAGCTTTTCTGCTGTCTAAACTAGGCAGTGAAGAGACAATCACTACCGTAGCTTTGTATTGTGGAGAATTGTATGAGTTTTGCATGAATTAGACTTTACACGATTTATGCTGTAGATTTAAGAGCCAGTGCATACAGAGGCATTAGACATTATCTTTCGTGTTTCCAATGTTTATTGTACTTCTCTCCTGTCCCTTACACATTTACAGTCCGTTCATCCAATGCTTTGTGTAGACAAAGGCAAATAAGACTAAATTAGCAAAATGACAAAAGTTGTCTAACAGCCGCACGCACTCACACGAACGCCCTTCAGCAGCACCCAGTGCGACCCACTCCCACTCACACTCACACGCCCAAGGCCTCGCCAACTCCCATTTTAAGGGGCCTGATTGCCAGTTAAGAATGTGCAAACAAACAAACAGACAAAGAGACAGGACGTCGGGGGGGTGCTGGTGGCCGGGAAGGGGGTCGGAAGACTGTCGCCCAGCCTGTGCCTCCCTGAGTTTCCGGGAAGTGGGTAGGAGCGAAAGACCCAGAAACTGCTTACGAAAACACAAAAGTAAAACATGTGTTCTGCGGGGGCTCAAGAAGGCAGGGAGCAAATAATTCCGTGCCCGTTTCCCAATAAATCGCTCTAGGGTAGTGATGGGGGAGGGGACAATGGAAGAAGGAAGGCCCTTTAAAAGCAACACTCTGTTGAACAAACAATCAACCAATTCATTTTAGTTTAATAATAATAATAAATGGCAAAAACGAATAAAAGTGCAAGGAACTGAACCCCCGAGAGCCCTTGGAACGTCCAGAGGGTCCCTACAGCTGCAATCGTCCTCATGAACGGTACTTGCTCTCATAGCCTGGCCAATTATTGAAAACACTGCACATGTGTATACACATACAATGGTATGTACAATGTAAGGGACACAATACACACTATTCACTTACGATACACTTTCGTTTCTATGAAATACTGTAGTCTATTACAGTGTGTGCAAACACCAAAAAGGGCAACACAAGGGCTCTCAACTAGATTTAAAGTTAATACAAATACAGTTGAATTTGTATCTCTTCCGCACTCGGAGAACCCGGAGCAAAGGCTCGACCATTGTGTGCCTTTAAAATTATTCGAATCAGTGGATAAAGAGTTGACAATTGTTTGGGTCTCGAACTGGTTGGCAGATCGACACAATCATAAATCAACCTAAAACTCGCATTTGTGTTCACATAGAGATCTTCCAGAACAGTGGTAAAAGAACGTTCCTCAAGACGTGCGAGAAAAATAATTGTGTACCTAATACTCGAAGCGGAAAGGGAATATTTCATTCGTTTTTTTTCTTGATCGTCTTCGCTAGACAAATCAATTGCCTGTGAGGCTCTTTTTACCTTACACTTAATCTCGGGGGATATCCAGAAAACGTTGTCCCATTGTTTTAAATATTTTCCACATTCCCATAAAAACTATCATAGCCAATTCTCGCCGGGAAAAGGTGTTTTCCCTCCATTCGAATGTGGAATCCAGTCTTGAATGAAATTGGTTGGTCGCAGAGTCCGCATTGACCAGGTACTTCAGTTTATGTTGAATATTAGAAAAATGTTACTGAAAATTTTGAACTCAAGAAAGAATTGTTTGCCGAACGAACCCCAGAAAATGAAAAGTATTCTTGTATGTTTAATAAAAAACATTTTTAAACTGAGTATTCACCCACATCCGACATGACATCCAACTGTAGTTGGATCCGAACGCTTTGTGTGATCAGTCAGCCCCTCGGAAAAAAAACGTTCAGTGACTTTTAAATTACATCTTTTGAATACATTCTCGTACATTAGAGTGAATCTGTTGAAGAATCAGGTGCCATTTATGTATGTACAAGACATATTTATTTTCGTCGCATACCATACCCCTTGCTACGCTGCTCGAGAGACTTTCGATCTAAATTTACACTTGCTCATCGGTACTCGTAGGATTGCTCTACTAAACACACATTAATTTAAGCAGCTGGTGCAGTAGATTCGCGATAGAATAAACTCAATGCTTATATTCGTATGATTCACCGTCGTACAAAGAAGAATCGATCTCAAGAGGAGCTATCCAAAATACCTAGAAGGTACCTTTCAGATGATACAAGTACTCCTTGGCTGCATTGTATAGCAAACCTGCATACTCTGCTCATTCATACTCACATGTACATATGTACGAGTATGTACGAGTATGTATTGCATATGTATGTATGTCTAAAGAGGTGTTTTTCGTGCTCATTCTTATGCACATGCTCGCACTCGTTTATCCTGCTTGATGATAATAAAAGTTCTTATCTATTGTTCCAGCCATTTTAAATAATTGAAAGGGTCCCATCAGTTCTATAGGTTTTTTTTTTTAGTTTTTTATGTTTCTTTCGTTCTTTGTAAAGGAGTTTTAGCCCTTTAGACCCTTCAGAGTAGACAAAAGCTCTTCTAGATTGTTGCTGGCAGCTGGCAGCTGGCAGGTTGCTTCCTGCCTTCCGTCGCCTCTGGCTGAGCTCAAGAATGTGCACTTACACAGTTAGGAGCGCATGGAAAAGCAAAAGTTTGCATGAGGCGTGTAATAATTAACTTAAAGTAGCCGGAGCTCTATCCGAGTAATTAGCTCGAATTGAGATTCCGCTATTGCGAATATTCCGCCATTTTGGGGTTTGTGGCGACCCACTTGCCACGTCTTCTCTCTCATCTAGCACGATAAGCTAGCGATAATTTAATTATACGCGCAACGCGAAACTGAAGTTGCCAACAAACCTAACCCTGGATTTGGGGTTGGGGAAATGGGAGTGGGCATGGGGATGACAGAGATTGTGTCAAGACTGAGAGTGCTCTGAGCGCTACAGAAGCGAAAGAGAAGTCTGATACAGAGCCTAAGGCGGAGGCGGAGGTGGAGGCTGCGGTCGTCCCTGCTGACGTCGATGTAAGTGGCAAAAATGTAAATTACGCGTATTAATATCAATTTATAATCCGAATCTGAAACCAAAAAATGCTTCTGTATGGTCAGAATGGTTGACGATGATGCGGCAAATCCCTGATAAATCTTTAAAAATTACTTTTAATTTCGTGACGGAAAACGCAGAGCCTTCAATCGACGCCTAGACGCCATCCCGCCATTCTCGACCAGGACTGACTGCAATGTGCTTAGCGGTCGGAGGCAGGGACGACGGAGGGAGGCCCTCTGTATCTCTCACATCCAGCTGACTTTGCTAGCTATGCTGCCCCAATATAGTGCTTCTCCGAGGGCAGCATCTAGATTAAAGTAAGTCAAGCGATGAAAATAGATTAGGCGTATATTGCGAATGCTGCGGCCAGACCAGGCCAGACCCCGTTCCGCAGCCATCCCACCCCAAGTCAAGGCCCAACCCCACACCAAGCGATAAAGAACGGGCAGAGCAACGCAGGCGCCATCCTGGCAGTCGCCGGCAGCAGAGGCGTGAAAAAAATGCCCCCAATTTAATTTGAGTTCTGCGCCATCCGTGCGTCTATTTGTTTGATTAGTCGATTTTGTGGACTTTGCCGCTAATTGTGCGCCCCCTACTCCACACGCAGAGGGATGCCGTATGGAATATATGTATATAGTATGCACATATGTAGATATATACATATGTATGTACATATGTATGTATGTATGTATGCATGTACAACAGTATGTGTGTATTGACCAGGAACAGGAATAAAAATATTAGAACAGAACCAGGCTTTGGTCCGAAGCCAGAGCCAGAGCCAAGCACCGCCTCTGTTTATGCTAATGAATTCGAGTTGGCAACGGGCGAACCACATTCGCGGACACAGACCGGTACGGGAAGGGAAGGGACGGGACCGGACCCTCCTCGCACTCGAACACACTGTTGCCGTTATTTTTGCAATATTTGCATAATTGCTTTTGTTGCTTTCATTTGGTCGGCTTTGGCTTTCGATGGCATGGCGCTGGGCGCTCGGCGCGGGCAAATATTTGCACAGCCAGCGCTCAATTTTTGGCCAATTTCACAAGCTACACTCGTCGCCCCACCGTTAAGGCACACAGATGCACACACGTACTGCCGAGCAGGCAGGAAAATTAACGTATTCTAATTAGCACGTTGCCGCTGGCCGAGTTGTAAATTTATGTGCATTGCACAGAATACGCGGATAACGGTAGCGTAGGCAGTCGGAGCCTGGAACTGACACTGGAACAGAAACCGAAACTGAAACGGAAACGAGCGCAGTCAACGAGACAAAGACGCCGCTGCGCGATCATTGGAAGTTCCACGGACGGCTTCAGTGCTCTAGTTTTTCAATTTCGAGCGAAAGGGAGGCGCCTCTTGACGCGGTTTTGGCCTTCCAAAGTGTCAACAGCATTTGTGGTGATGCTGATGTCACGCCGACGGCGATGGCCACCGACGGAGACTGACAGAGAGACGCAAGAGACAAAAGCACAGGAACTTAGCGAACACAGGAACTCACAAGTCGACCGAACGCTGGGGGATTGAGAGTCGACCCCGAACACACAAGCGAGCAATTCTGCCGTCAGTTTTCCTACTCAACTCGACTCGACTCCGCGGCTGCGATGTTAACGTATCCACTGGGCCCGACAGAGTGTCGGAAAATGTTTGTTCATGTTCATTTACTTCTAGTTTCCTGCAGCTGCGCTTTTCATCGCTCATTCTCTCCCTCTCTCTCTCTCTCTCTCTCTTTCCGCTCTCTCTCTCTTTCCGCGTATAAGTCAGCTGCTCTCTCGTATCTATTGTTCGTGTGCACTTCGTGTTTCCACTGGTATATTTTGAATATTTTTTATTTTTAGAATTTGTGTTCATTATTTTTTTTAATATTTTATCATTGTTTTCTGTACGAGTGTGTTTTTTATTGCTATTACTTTATTTCAAATATTCTTTGGTTATTTGGTTATTTCTTAGTCAATTATTTTTTGCATACTGTTGAATGTAATTCATGTCGTTGCATATGTATTTTGAGTAAAATTAGTTGCAATAACTTTTTAGTGAGGGATATAATTTCACTTGCAACGGCGTCCCAATTGCATGCACTTACAAGTAATATGGGAGAGCGTGTAGTTCTCTTATAATGGAATGCATACGATACGCGAGTGCGCAACACATGGGCCATGGGCTGCCAGCGCGTTTTCGTTCACTCTTTAATGCCAAAATTGCTGCTCTGAAGACCTAATTTGAATCTAATTTATGTAACTATTGACATCAGCTAAGTGTGGACAAGAACTTACGACCGCTTTTTGTTTTGGGAAAGTGCTTGCCGTGTATTTGCTCACACAATTGCGTATGCATATACAAATGTACTATGTATGCATATGAATATTAGGAGGAATGTTCATATAATAGTCCAAGTAGGTGAACATTTCGCTACTAATTAACAAAGTGGGGTCTTTCAACATTTCACAAATTTTCTGTGATTTAAATTGATAATGATTAAACTTCACATACCGAAAAATTTCAAAAATATCAACACTGGATCCGCTTTTGATGTTTAAGTCCTGAATAGTCCTCCATATTGATGCCATATAAATATTAAAACCTAATCACTATTTCTTTGAGTGAGGGCTGTGATCTGACTTTCACCCGGCAAAATCAGCTTTTAGAACGTTACCACGGCATTTTTTACTGATTTGAAATGTGCTATCTAGTTGGTTCCATATTGATGACTAAAACTTTAAAATCAGTTTGCGAATTCATAAAATGAATAACCATGTAGATTAAAGCAGCATAAAATGAGATTGAGATGCCATTTATAGCAGTAACCAATTTGAAACACTTTCCACATGCTGAAATCCAACCAGGATTCTTCAAGTGATGTAATGCTCAATGCTCTGTAATTCCAAGTACTGCTTAGGAGTGTGGCACAAGTACGTTATCGAGGATCAGACAGTTTCTTGTACATACGACTATTTGTGTGCTTCAAGTAGTGCAGGGTGGAGAAACTCTACTCGGCTCAGAGTCGTACGTATGTACTTGCTTTTGGTATGAGAACAGAAAAAAATGGTCAAGATGAAATGAAATCATGCTTAAGCACCAGATTCCATGACAATGAACAGTCAGGGGCATTTGCATAAAACGAAGATAAATACATACAGACATAAGATATCGCATACAGAGAAGGTCGGGAGGAGCGGGAGACCAAAGGCAACCACAGGTCGACCGGTTAAAGGTTAACACACTGAAACATGCATGCACTGAAGAGGATGTGGGTCCTGCCTCTATGAAGGCATGGAGTTCCCCATTCCGGTTGTACTATATACTGCATGCGGAGTGGGGTATCCATACCCATACCCACCGCCGAGACATCGAATGAATCGATTTCGACAATGTTTGCCTGATTGAAGTTATCCCATCCGGAAAACGAGCGAAAAGCCACTTGCGGTTTCATGACTTGCCATGGCTGCCGTTTGGTTTGTGTTTGAATTTTAATTGCAATCGAAAGTCCTGGTTTGATTGATGCATACCTAATAAATGCACAGCCACCGCAGGATTCGGGGGAGTGGCTGCAGCGGAACCATGTAAATCTGTCCGTTACACTCTCTGCCACGGCCTGGTTGAGCAGCTGGCTGTGCCATCAAGCTGCACCCTAATGGGCAAATGGGAGCGTCGATTTCAATTGGACACAGATGCATATTGAATGGCAGGCCTCTATTTAAATATTGATTCCAGATAAATTATGCCATGTAAGCTGCCGCACGTGGGCCACACACTCAAAATTCACTGGCAGTGGGAGCTTTTGCTGTCACTGTTTCTGAAACTGTTTCTGTTGATGTTGCTGTTGCTGTGGCTGTCGTTTTCGTTAGAGTCTTTTATCTTGGTGGAGCGGAAATTGCGGTTGGGTTCGCTGCTGAAACTTTGCGAACTGATTATCGCTGACATGCCGCGAGAGATCAGGCCCAAAGGACGCGGCCCAAAGTGGCAGCAACAACAAGTTTCCAGCGTAGAATTTTACACATGGAAAGCACATTGCATGGCAATGGGCGTGGCCATGCCATTTTCGACTTGTTGTCTGCTGTCACTGGCTGGCGAAATCAGGCGCGCAACTCTTTATCCGAGTCGTCAGTCCGACAGCTCGGCGACAATTAATCACGACCATCTGCAGGCACTGGGCGTAAAAATGAAACGTCACAATAAAGCCATTTGTGCGGCAGAGAGCGTGCTTTCTTATGCCTCACTCCAACAGGACCCAACTGTGCCGGAAGCCCTTTGCCAATCCTTCAGACGCAACACACACAGCACACTAGCGACAATTAGCATCTCTGACAAATGGATTAGGCAAACGCCTCAATCATTCCTCTACAAAATTCCCAGGAGTCCTCACGAGATGTAGGAGGTGAATCAATGGAAGGAACTTTGACTAGGGTTTGTATGCTCCCATACGAAAATCGCTTGAGCGGGCTCTCCTATCACATAGATTTAGCATGGTGTACACTCGGGTGGTCATTGGGAAAATGATAAATCCCCCCACTCGAGCATGAGCCGCATAGACCGCTGGTAGGACGACACTTGTAAAATTGTCACAACATTAATCAAATCGAGCACACAGCCAAATGCGTGCCATAAATTTTCAGTCTCGCTTGGTGGCCAGATGCCAGCTGTGGCCTGGAGTACAAGTGACGTGACCGCCCCTGTGGCCTGCCAGTGAAAGTGTCGGTGAAAGTGCGGCGTGACAAGCCAGAGACCACAGGCAGGCCGAACCTTTGTCGCCCTTGCAGGAATACTCCGTCCTCTTGCAAACAAGTATGTTTGTTAGTCTGAATGTACATTTGTGGCACTGCTACTCTCTGAGTTGTACTGTACAGATGCTGTTTAACCAGGCGCCTGCAATCACAGACACGTGCTTGAAACATTTCAGCCTTCTTCGAATGCCCTTAACGAATGCCCCAGTCAGCGCACCCCCCCAGCCACGCGGCTCATGTCACTTCAGTTATTCAGTACTTGGGTAATGCCGATGACTGGGGTGACGATGTTACAAATACCCGCCAAGGGAGTACGGGAGAAAGCGCGTGGTACAAGTTAAAGCTGTACTTTGGATCAAGGATGGACAGAACATTCTACCCTAGCCGATAAGCGTGCAGAGTACACAGCGAATAATGGTAGCCAAATATACTTGAGGCAGGAAACGGAGTTCCCTTTTGGAAGGGAGTGACTGTATGATGAATAACGGTGGGGCTGGGGGCTCAAATCAGCGGTGTCGCAATCAAAAACGGTTGTGAGCCCCAGACAGATGAGATGCCGGAAGGAAAGATTCCACTTGCTGATTGACACCCTCGACAAACAAATCATTCTTACCCGACGGCTTAGCGTTCGCCGAATTTGTACTTGGTGCGGAAAAAATATGTTGAAGCTCAAGGTACACTTACATAGACATGTGTACACTTAACCAGCTACAATCCATAATTCAAGAATAATCCCAACTGGTTGCGTGCTAATTAGAACGTATGGGTGTTGCTCATACGTTACGTGGTTACTTCTATATATGTATGTATATGTACATATATATAAATTTTGATATTACTGGTATTTTTTATATATATTATATACATTTAATTGTGGGGTCAATAAATTATGAATCGGTACGAATGAGCAAATGCACATTCCAAGAACATAATTCCGAGAAGGGTACGCAAAACACTGGCTCGTTGGCGTAGTAGAGTACTCTTAACATTCATTCGCTAGCTTGCCTCGATTTAAATTAAAGTAATGGATAATGTATTCTATTATGAGTTTTAATTAATTGTTCAAGTGCTTTAAGAAATTACTAATTGAATTTAAGCCCATCTGTGTAAGAAGTCCATGGACTTATACGAGTTTATATGAGGATTATAATTGGTAAGTCATTTTTAATGATAGGAAGATTTACTCCTTTCCGAATTCCAACTATGTATGCATGTATACAGATACAAACAAACTATAGGTATACATACAGCTGCCATGAAAATAATTGTTTTCTTTGAGTTATTTTGTTAAAACAATGGCTCTAATGAAGGTTTTTAAAACTATTATATCAACTTTGAGGCTTAATTCAACTTATCCGAGAGAGATGGTATGCTTTGATGGCTAACAAAACTTCAAATTTAAACAAAATTTACAAAATTCATCATCGATTCCAGCACGGGTACTTTACCACCCCTATAATACGAATGTCATTGTACTGTACTCTTGCAGAGTGTTTAGCTTAACCTAATTTGGCGCCACCCCTAACGGCAAATTGATACATAATCATATAAGCAATTACATCGCCAAGATGACACCTGCAAATTGCAAATCAAAGCAATACAACCGCGGACGCTACCGCTTCCGCGAAAGACGATCCATCTAGCAACAAGTAGCAACCTAACAAGTGCCGCAACCCGAATTATAACGTCAGCATATTGACCAGCGACGTGTAATTCGGAGTGTTGGATTACCACGCTAATGTGACACCTGCATGGGGCATCTCGCCCTCTTTATTTTGATATAAATGTAAGTTCGATTTTACAATAAAGACAATTAATGACAAGTACGTCAAATCACTAAGACTCATTACAGCATGCACTTACCATGATTCTTGTCTCAGCATGATTATTAGATATTAATATGTGTCAAAGGGTTG